CGGGGGGGGGTCCAGCAGCTTTGCTGGACCCCCCAGCAGACCAGGGAGACCGGGAGAAGCTTTTCTCGCCCCGGAGGACACGGCTGGCGACCCGCCGCCCGTGAGCTCTGGGGCGAGAAAAGCCCCGTTCGTAAGTGCAGATCCGACATAAGTCGGATCCGCGTAAGTCGGGGACTGCCTGTACTCCACTTAGGAAGGAATAATTTGTTTCACGCATACAGAATGGGAACCAACTGTATAGGAAGGAGTACTACAGAAAGGGAACTAGGAGTCCTAGTGGACCACAAGCTAAATATGAGACAACTGTGTGATACTGTTGCAAAAAAAGCAAACCTGATTCTGGGATGCATTAACAGAAGTGTTGTTAGCAAGACACAAGAAATGATTCTCTTGCTCTACCTTTTGCTGATTAGGTCTTAATTGGAGTATTATGTCCAGTTCTGGGTACCACGTTTCAAGAAAGATGTGGACAGATTGGAGAAGGTCCAGAGAAGAGCAACAAAAATGATTAAAGGTCTAGAGAACATGAGCTATGAAGGAAGACTGAAATAATTGGGTTTGTTCAGAAGACTGAAAGGGGACATAATATCAGTTTTCAAGTATCTAAAAGGGTGTTATAAAGAGGGAGAAAAAAATGTTCTCCTTGGCCTCTAATGATAGGACAAGAAGCAGTGGGCTTAAATTGCAGCAAGGGAGGTTTAGGTTGGACATTAGGAAAAACTTCCTAACTGTCAGCGTAGTTAAACGCTTGAATAATTTGCCTAGGGAGTTTGTGGAATTTCTGTCACTGGAGATATTTCAGAGCAGCTTGGATAGACATCTATCAGAGATGATCTAGACAGTGCTTGGACCTTCCATGAGAGACTGGGCTAGATGATCTCTTGAGGTCTCTTCCAGTTCTAGTATTCTGTGATTCTTTTACTAATAACCAGTCTTGTTAAGTAGCTGACTCCTTATTGTTCAAGCCAAAAACATCAAGATGGTTTTTGGAGATGTGCATCAGCACAATAACCATAATTCACAATGAAATTTGCCTAAAATTAGGTCTGGCTGCTAGTCTCAATCAGCAGTGGAACTCCTGATATTGTTGCACAAAGGTCAAACATGACTTGTCTGTAGTAACCTTTTGATTATTGTTGTAAGTCTTGTTCCCCATCACCTAATGGGAAAACATTCCCACTCACAGCTTCCACTATTTCTGTCTTTCTCTCTGATTTTCCACAAAGAACCTAATGGGAGGTAAAAGGTATTAGCTAATGACTATAAAACTGGTACTATGTGAGGGAACTACAGGTCAAATATCCTTCACTTCCTATCCTAAACTTCTGTATGACATTGCTGTGACAAGTACATTGTTAAAGAATGCTGTTTCATTAACTTATGGCAATTTCTAAGTGAAGGATTTACAAATACTTACACTCTTGCAAAAATTTTGTTTTGCAGTCCTGGAAGGAAACGAGATTTTTCCCCAGTCCCTTGGAGCCAGTACTTTGAAGCTATGGAAGATGTTGTGGTTGAAAATGAAAATGGCAAGGATATTTTTTTTTTTTTTTTTTTTTCTTCTAGACTGAATTCTTTGGGATCTCAAGGAGCTGGTGGTATTATGTAGTTTGGAGCTTATCAGGAATTCTTTACTTTTTTTTTTATTGTTCCATCTATAACTCTACTGACCCAGGCAATGCCTATGTGTCAACAATTAGGTTGCAGAGGGAAAATATCTAGAAAGGTTGGATTCTTGGTATTGCTTTCTCACCTCTGTTAATATTTGTTCATTCAAAACCAGTGTCATAAGAACATACCTAGGTAATAGTGTGTTTAATACACTAGCAATTTTCCTCTGAAGATGTGAGATCAAATTCTATCTTTGACATACGCATGTGTGCATACTCACATCCACGCACACAAGTTGACTGTCAGTTTAGTTCATGTTCCTGAAATAGCCACTCTTCTAGTGAGGATTTGTCAACATCGCCCAAGAACCCCCATTTTTTGGTGCAGTTATGGTCTGTTCAATCCAGAGCATGACAGGGATAACACAAGGAGCTACAGGCAGGACTGAGGCTCATTGGCACCCATGCAGAGATGAGAGAGGTTTCACGAACACCATATTCACTAAGGGAAAAACATTCTTTCTGCTATGAAAGAAACCAAGCTCCTCTTACTCATTACCTGGGATGAGTGATGCCTTTTAGTAATGTACCACTAGCTGCAAGTTAATTGGGAATGGGGGAGTTTGGCAGAGTCGCAGATGTTCTAACCCAGCAAGGTAGGTAGAGATAATACAGACTATCGGAGGGGTAGCCGTGTTAGTCTGAATCCGCAAAAGCGGCGAGGAGTCCTGTGGCACCTTAGAGACTAACTGAAGTGTAGGAGCATAAGCTTTCATGGGCCAAGACCTGCTTCGTCAGATGCATGTGGTGGAAATTTCCAGAGGCAGGTATAAATATGCAGGCCAGAATCAGGCTGGAGATGACGAGGAGGATCCAATCAAGGAGGATGAGGCCCACTTCTAGTAGCTGATCTGGAGGTGTGAATTCCAAGAGAGGAGAAGCTGCTTTTATAGTTAGCAAGCCATTCACAGTCTTTGTTTAATCCAGAGTTGATTGTGTCAAACTTGAAGATGAACTGTAGCTCAGCAGTTTCTCTTTGAAGTCTGGTCCTGAAGTTCTTTTGCTGCAGGATGGCTACCTGTAGATCTGCAATTGTGTGTCCGGGTAGATTGAAGTGTTCCCCTACAGGTTTTTGTATGTTGCCATTCCTAATATCTGATTTGTGTCCATAGATTCTTTTACGTAGGGACTGTCCAGTTTGGCCGATGTATATAGCAGTGGGGCATTGTTGGCACATGATGGCATATATTACGTATAGCATATATAGACTGTATATCTGTATAAAGCCACATACTCACACCATCCCTTGCAGAACATCCTGACATGTTAGCTGTTATCTTCCTCCTCACCATCCCCTTCCTCCTCCTCAGGGGCCATCATTCTGTACAAACCTAAAGCTGAACAGAAGGTAGAATTGGATCTTTTTTGTGTAAGTAAGTCGCAAAAAAGTGTTGACAATTTTGTATGTGCTGGGAAGGGTCTGTGAGGTGTCTTAATAGCTTGTTTCTCATAATTATATTAAGAAACATTGTCCTTAACTGTTCATACACTTTTCGAATTTATAAAAGTGGATCGGAGGGCCCTGTCTTACTATTGTTGCATGGAGGAGGCCATTCTGCTCTCTCCTGGGCTGTGTTCACTGTAAGTTGATGGAAGTAGAACTATTTACATACACTTGTGTCTTCCACCCCTGAATAACTTGAAAATATGAAACCCTGCTAATCATGCAAAAGATAATTTAGAAAGCTTTTCTTACCTTGTTATCGGACTATGTAACTCATGCAGTTAGACACTTTACCCTGTTTAAATCTGATATGCTAGGATCTCGCTCAGTCACAGTTAAACCATTTTTTCACCAGACTGATTCCACAAATAATGGGAAGATGTTATGGACAATCTAATGGAGAGGAATAATTTTAAGCCATTTTACTTGCGCCTTCACTATATTGATGCTGCATTATAAACAGGCTTGAATATTAACTCAGAAAACCTCAGTGGCTGAAACCCAACCTGATGTTGTGTCAAGGGGAGCAAGTTTCATGGCTTAACACTTTCCCCCTCCAACACATTTTTATATAAAAAGCCTACAGGGGATAAACCCAACCAAGACTTTTAACCCAGCAACTTCAGTTGTGGATCTTGTGCCTCCTAGGTGGATCTCTATCTCTTGATCTAATCTAAGGGTTTTATAAGACAACTTTTACTGAGGCATCTGTGAACTACATAAAAACCTGAAACAGACCAGATACATACAGACACATGCAGTTTCACCGAGGTATTGGCCCTCTTGTAGTTGCCTATCACAGACAACTGGATATTATGAATAAAGGTCCACACATGTAATGGGAATGAACAAATGAACAGTTTACTGTACTCAGAAGCAAGCATTTCTCAAAGTCCCAAGATCACTGTAGAATAAATCAGAGTTCATGCACCTAGCCGTAAATCATCTTAGAATCATTGCTAAAAGGGAGGTATTAAGTAGGGAGCCACACTGTGATTTGACAGGTGAGGTTAGTTCTTTTACATATATAGCCTCAGTTGACCCAAATCTTGTCAAATAAAGTTTGACTTCAGATGTGGGGCAAGTGTTTTTCATTGAATTCTGTGTTACTACTTGCTTACCAAGCTGGGAAGGGGGTCGCAAGTGCTTTGGTGAATAGGATAATAATTCAAAATGATCTAGACCAGGGTAGGCAAACATTTTAGATGGGGGGGGGGGAAGGGGGGGAGTGCAATTCAGAATTTTTTTTTAAGTAGCCTCGTGCTGCCCTGGGAGGGTGGGGCCAGGACCCTTCCATGGTTCTCCACCCACAAACCCTGATTGGCCTTGGGGTGGTGGGAGCAGTGAAGTCTTTACCACCCTTCCCTCCTGAGAGCTGTTCCTTCTAGGTGCCTGAGCCCCTGGCAGCAGGAGGAGAGTCATGTGCTCCCCCTGCCCCGAGGTCAATCAGACCTGAGGGTGGGAGAAGTGTGTGAAGTCTCTCGCTGCCTGTCCCCGCCCTGCAAAGGGCATGTGGTACTTAGTCAACCCTGGTGGTTGACTCTAAACACTGCGCACCCTGGCAGGGAAGGAGTCTTCACATGCTCCCCTGTCCCCGGGTCCTGATTGGCCTGGAGGTGGGGGAGTGACAGGGCATCCACGGGCCAGATCAACCCGCTTGGCAGGCTGGATGTGGCCTGCGGAGGCCCTTTTGCCCACCCCTGATCTAGCCAAAGGGGAGAAATAGTTGAGGTAAATAGGATGAAACTCAATAAGGACAAATGCAAAGTACTTCACTTAGGAAGGAATAATCTGTTGCATACAAAATGAGACATGACTATGTAGGAAGGAGTTCTGCAGAAAGGGACCTAGGGGTCATAGCTAAATAAGTCATCAATGTGACACTGTTCCAAAAAAAGCAAACATGATTCTGGGATGCTTTAATAAGAGTGTTGTAAGCAAGACACTAGGGGTATGTCTAGACTACAGGTTTTTTTTTAAATGGCCTTTTTTTCGAAAAAACTTCCTCTGCGTCTAGACTGCTGCCGTGTTCTTTCGAAATTAAATCGAAAGAATGCAGCAGTTTTTTCGACCACGGAAAACCTCATTTAATGAGGAATAATGCCTTTTTTTGAAAGTGCTCTTTCGAAAATAGGCGTTATTGAATGCAAACAGGGCTTTTTCGAAAGAGCATCCAGACTGCCTGGGTGCTCTCTGCGTCTTGTTTTTTTGAAAGAAGTGGTTGCAGTCTAGATGCTCTCTTTTGAAAGAGGCTTTTTCAAAAGATTCTTTTGAAAAAGCCTCTTTCAAGAGAGGCTTGTAGTCTAGACGTACCCAAGAAGTACTTCTTCCATACTACTCTGCACTGATTAGGCCTCAGCTAGAGTAGTGTGTCCACTTCTAGGTGCCACACTTCAGAAAAGATGTGGAGAAATTGGAGAAGGTCCAGGGAAGAGCGACAGAAATGATTAAAGAATGACCTATGAGGGAAGGTTGAAAGAATTGTTTGCTTAGTCTGGAAAAGAGAAGACCCAGAGAACATGGTACTGCTTTCAAGTACCTAAAAGAGTGTTAAAGGAGGAGGGAGAAAAATTAATCTCTGATGGTAGGATAAGGAGCAATAGGCTTAAGTTGCAGCAAGAGAGGTTTAGGTTGGATGTTAGGAAAAAACTTCCTAACTGTAAGAGTGGTTGTGGTATCTCCATTATTGGAGATTTTTTAAGAGCAATTTAGATAATGCTTGATCCTGCCCTGAGTGCAAGGAGCTGGATTTGATGGCCTCTTGAGGTTCCTCCCAGTTCTATTCTATGATTATTCTATTCTTGTAGAACACTAGTCACTAGGATATATGACTCATTCAGCCTATGCTAATTTAACACCACGGTAGTGTATGAACCACTTGCAAATTCTAAAGTTAAACTAGCTTTGTGGTTTTTTAGATGGGGGGGGGAGGAGTTAAACACTAAAATCCAAATTCACACTTTTTTCTTAAGCATTGAATGAGGTGGCCCTCTTAATTGCAAGCAATTAATTCCATCCTTTCCTAAATTCTACTTCTAATAACAGGTTTTAAAAGTGCTCTCTGTTACACCATTATGTACAACAGATCTGGAATCATTCCACCTATTTCAGTAGAATAAATTCTAGACGTACACCACTATAACTTACAATATAATCACTATCTAAGCAGTTACTAGACTTGCTAGTTAAATAGCATATAGGAGTCATGCCATTTCACTGTGCCCTAGACCCACAAAGCTGTGTAGCTGGGGAAGGAACTATGAAGACAATTAATTCATTCCATTCTGCTGCCAATATCCTTGTTCTCCGTGTGTATTTTTTTAATCAAAGTGTGTTCTAAACTGCTGCAAATAAAATTAATACAAGCAGACTCTACCTACCTATTTTTCTCTCTGCTCGTTGGTTTAATAACTTACTGGAAAATGTAATGGTCCCGGATGTGTGTGTTCTTGTCTCACCAAAGAATTTCTGTTCTGGTAAGTTACGGTCATGAGAGAACTTCCCTTATTATCACATCATTTAGATTACATTGTAATTTTTAGCAGGTGACCTCATGAACTGCTGGTTAAATTAATGCTTAGGTTTTTACCGTTGGTGAACTAGGGTTCCAAGTAGATTTTAAATAGTCTAAAGTATGTTTCTGGTTGTAGTCATTTTCTGGGTTGTGGCTGCAACAATTCTTTTGGATTTTGGAAAAGGAAACAAAAGGTAGTAATCAGAATGATGTAATTTTAATGGCCAGTATCTCATGACATGTTGGGCTGAAATGAATGCTCTTACCTCAAAGACAGAAAGGAATTCTCAGATCGGATAGTATACAACATCCATTTCTAGCCCTAGCGGGTATGAGATCCTGCCTTTAGTCCCTTGGTCCACAGAGTGATTTATTTGGACTTGAAACATCAGGTCAGTGCAACTGTCACTCTGCCTGTCAAGTAGGTGGTGCTGTCTTGTTCTTTTAAGGGCCTTTCAACAGATGTCACTGCTACCACTCTAATACGATTTCAATTATTAGTTTCCCAGCACAAAAATCTGCCTTTTATTCAGCTCTGAATGCTACCTAATCAACACAACGTGTGAAATAACTTATGTAAATGGCAAGAACAAGTAATGAGGCATGATCTGATTGCAGTTGGGTGTTACTTTATAAAACATCTCCTTTGGATTACTAACAAATGATGGACAGAAATACTCAGTTTGGCATATTAATGTTACTGCAAAATTCCATTCTTTGAGTGAATTGAGACTATACTGTAAAGCAGCTGCTCTCGCTTCTTACCTTCTGTGAAGGCAGAACTAATTTTGGAACATGTGGAGGCTTGGAAGGGGAAGTATCACTTCTATATGTGTAATACTATTGCTGCACTTCAGTTTTTAAGAGATGTTGTAGAGTAAATTATATCCTAAGGAATTTGATTTCTTTTCTTTGAGACATGGAATGGAAATGGGAAAATAATCCTTGGGAAACACTTGGGTGCTGGTGAAAAAGAGGTGCTTTTTAATTTACTAATTAAAGATCACATACGCTAAATACTCTTGTTTCAACTTTCTCTTCGTGCCTACTCTGTGCCTCTTGTTCAGTCTAGATTCAGCACTGTCATTGGGGTGTGTAGGTGGTTTTTTTTGGACACACCGTCTTGTCTTTTGCATCTGTTGCAATGATTTATTTAATATTGTGAACCCCTTTCTTAGCTGAGATGGGGCAGTTTGCAAACTGTATATCTTTGTCCCCTCTTACAGTCTGCGATTATTAACAGGATTCAGTGTAGGATTGTGGCTTTAGATCTCAGAAGTCATGGTAAGTAAATTAGACTTAAACTCAAATTCATGTTCCAATATATTTCTTATGTATGCTTTACATTTGTATTTGTATTTGAATTAGATTTAACTGAATTACCACATCAAAAAACTGAGTTTATAGGCTACTTTTGAAATGATCAAAGCATTGCTATACAGGCAGTCCCCGGGTTACGTACAAGATAGGGACTGTAGGTTTGTTCTTAAGTTGAATCTGTATGTAAGTCGGAACTGGCGTCCAGATTCAGACACTGCTGAAACTGACCGCCAGTTCTGACTTACATACAGAATCAACTTAAGAACCCCAGGCGTCCCCAAGTCAGCTGCTGCTGAAACTGATCAGCAGCTGATTCCAGAAAGCCCGGGGCAGAGCAACTCTGCCTGGGGCTTCCTGTAGTCAGCGCTGGTCAGTTTCAGCAGAAGCTGACTTGGGGACGCCTGGGGCAGAGCAGCTGGGGTGCT